TCTAATTATGGAGCTGAAGTCATAAGGATGACACTGCAAATATGGAAATCAAAGTTCTGAAAAAGAAAGAAAGAATGAAATAAAGAAGCAATCCAGAAATAGATAAGGAGCTTAGACTCCTTTTAAAAGCCTTTCTTAGGTGTCACACCTGAAGAAATTCTCTCTGAGGCTTTCATCCATGTGGGTGTTTCTCAGAATAAGCAACACAAATCAATCTTTCGAATGTGCCTACATAGCACAGGATGTTGTGGTAACTGTTATGCCACAAACTTTCAGTCCAGGCTAGGATCCATCTGCACAAGATTTAGACTAGTCAGTAGAATTTCACAGACACAATTTCTGCATCTTAAATTCCTTGCTGTCAACTTCAAATTAAAACCATTCAGTATCCTGTGCTGGTACTGGGATTTTTTTTTTTTAAATTAAAGGCTGACATTTCCTTCCTTGGGTGTAGGGATAGTATCATTCAAACCACATCTGCTACCTTGCAGGTACGAATGATACCCAGAAACAGTTGCAGGGTACAAACAAGATTCGCAACCTCCACATTAACACAAAAGCTACCTATAGCATCTGCAACCACCTGGAGAGGTGGTTGTCTTTGCCTCCAATGGGGTAAGAAAACCAGGATTATCAAGATCTGCCTTTCCTGGAGGTTTGAGGGGTGGGAATGTGTGTTGGGGATGAAAGAGGCAGTTATTCCTGCCGTGCTTTCCAAGGCCAGGGTGGCACCGACCCTTCAGATGAGGACTGGACACAGATATGGTGGAGGAGGGTGAAGTTATCTTAAGACCACTGTTTGCAGGTGCTCAGGCAGATCCGAGAGGGATCAGGAGAGAGGAACAGGAGAAGCCTGGTTGGGTCCCTGACCACAGGACATGGTGTCGGGAGAGAAGGGCTACCCAGTTGAAGGCCCTGCATGGATCCAGGAGGGGTGGAGTCCAGGTGTACTGCAAAGGAGGGATCTCAAAAATAGTTTGGGTTCAGCAAATCTCTCTGTTCATGCACAGAGGCTTATCTTCAGGTGCTATAGTTTGCTAGCTGTATATCAGAAATAAAGGGCAAAAAGACTGTTGTTTGAAAAGAATGAGGGAGAAACCCAATTCCCAAGAGTGTGTGCATGTAGTAGTTCTACGCTTACAGCGTGACTGAAGTGGAAAGTTAAATTTGTGGCCATCATGTAGTCAGCATTTTTCTTGCATCTGCTTTATGTCTGCTAGTCATCTACTTTCCATGCAGAAGTTGTGTAGATCCTGACCTTGTCGTTTCACAGTAAGAGATGAAGACATCTCTGAGAATATGACTGTGCGATCCGCATTCCAATAGGCTAAGGCTTTTGTGGGCGTTCCAGTATGTGCAAGAGGCACTTTGATGGTTCCTAGTAATACCCAGTTGCTTCTTTTATTCACTGTGCTGACCTCTACCAACATTAAGATCAGCTGCAGAGGTCCTTCTCAGGGAATCTCCCCTAAAGAAGTAAGGGGGTGGTAAAGAGCAGAAGGACCTTCTCAGTGGTGGCACCCTGCCTTTGAATGTGCTCTCCAGGGAGATATGCCCGACATCTTTATTATCCTTTTGGTGCCAGGTGAAAACATATTTATTCACGAGACATTTAAGAATTAATAGTTTAATTTTTAAAACACATTTGTATCTTAATATTGTACTGATGCTGCTACATTGTGGACTTATATGGAGTTATTGCTGATTGTAATTTTTAGAGTTGTTTTTCATGCTTTGTGTTTTAATTGGGTATTTTAGTATTGCATTTGGGGTTTTAATGCTTGTAAACTGCCCAGAGAGCTCTTTGGGCTATTGGGGCAGTATATAAATGTCATAAATAAACAATTCAATCTGCCATTTTGGAAGTATGGCAGGGAGCCTTTCAATCAATTTGCATTAAAGGTTAATGCGTTATTGTTTAGATATTGTTTAGGGTCAGTGCTCCTTGGCTGGAAGTGCAAGGGGCTGTCAGTGCACAGAAAAGAAGTAGTTCAAACCTTCTCAACTCCATGTACTGAAATGGAGGGAGAGAATGGAGGGCAAGTGTGTATGTGAGTGTAAGCAAGAGATAGCACATATAAGACAAAAGCATGCTTTCTTTGGTTTTCATGATTAAATGTCACAGTTTATTTGCTCTAATAAAGCTCTCTGAAAATACTGATTAGCCAGATGCAAACTGGGTCATGAAAATGTCGAAAAAACATGTGAATAGGAAATGATGAGCGCACAATATATGCTTTGTGTAGACATGGTCTCAGAATTTCCAAGCCACTCCTGACATGTACGGTGCATCTTTGGGCAATTGTTTCCTTCACAGTCTCAGTAGTTTGCCTTCTGTAAAATGGATTTTTGGGGCCAAATGAATAGATTGGACCAGAGATCAGGCCTCACCTTGCCTTGGAACATTTCTATATAGCTCTGCATTCTATTCCAGACAGGGTACAGCTAACTGCCTCTGGGAAGCTTACATCCAGGGCTTTCTGCTAGGTTCTTTGGTTCTTCCCTGGCTCATGATATTTAGAGAATATGCTTCCTCTGATCATGGAGACTCATGGCTAAGACCAGGGAGCTGCTGTGCATGGCACTGCGGTGGAATGTGTAGGAAGAATTTTGGGGATGTGAGAACTTGGGAAGGCAGTGTTGGAAATGGCTGGGTAGGGTGAATGGACCTTGCAGTGCCTTGGAGGGGCACCACTGACCCCAGTGATATTGCAGTATTTTCTCTGACCAGGAGTGCAACAGTTAGGACACTGGAACAGCAGAAAGAAAATGCAGTTGAACCGTGGTTGGGGCAGGGAGTGAGTGGGAGAACTGAGGAGGAAGTTTATGCTCTTCGCTACATATTCTCAATCAAGCTATTTCTAAAAACTGTAATGTTTCTTACATTAGGTTCACCATTAGATTTATGTGAATGTTTAGTTTAAAAATACCAACAGATGTAACATTTTAAATTTTAAAGATGTAGTTTCACTTACATTTTATTGTGCATGCATATAAAAATGTCAGCCATTATCCAAAGGATATTTACTATTCCCTTTCTTCTAGGCCACTGTGGACTTGTAAAAAGATAGACCAGTAACTGAAGAAGAAGCACATGTAAGCAAGAAAAAACTTGACATATAGCTTGGGATTAGCTCTTAGTTGCAAAGAGCCAAACTGCTGTTGAAATTGGCATTCTACGGTAAAAGCAGCAACTAACACTTTTGCTGCAGCCAGGGTGGTCTGCCGTCCTCCATGTACACTTGATACTAACTATATTATCTTTCTGAATATAAGTATTATAAGCAGTTAACAAGTGAAGGTCTGGCTAGTGCTTTGCATACTTACTCCTTTGAGATAAAATGATCACTGTCTCATCATATAAAAATTTACTTAAAGATCTTGGGAACAGGCAATAACCAGATGCATTAGGTATAACATAGTATATTATAGCAAGCACTGTAAAACTAATGTCCAGGAAAGGCCTACACCAGAGTTCCTTCCATTTATAAGAGAACACTGCCGCAGTATTTATGCAAAACACATTTATCACTATTGGGGTGCAACTGCAGAGAAGTCAGAGTTTTTAGAAAAGAGAGGTGTGCAGGGAAATGGCCCTTTAAGCTTTCTTGATTTTTGTGTTCATTTTTAGCTCAATTAACTATCCAAAGGGAGATTTAAAGAGGGGAATAATAATAATTGAAATCTCTTAGTCCCTTACAAAATATGATGTAGTAGGAGAAAGTATGCTGCTGCTTGCTCCTGTCCCCCCACCCACCCACTCCAGCCCTCATGGGACCAGCAGCCTCATTCCCCTCTACCCAGAGCAAGAAATGCAGTTCCCTCACCTGCATGTTTTCCCATGAGATAGCTCCATTGAAGTCAATATGATTTGTCAGCCAATGAAGATAATCTGGTTTACTTCTGAGTAGTCATGAGCGGGGCTGGCTGGAGCTATGGGTCAGACTAGATGTCCTGAGACACCCCTTCTGACTTGCTCTGTTTCTATGTTTTTATGTTTCTATGTCAGCTAGTTATTTTTTGAGCAAGAGGACAAAGGTGACAATTGAGAAAGCTTAAAAGGACCCTCGAGATGTTATTTTTCAAAGGAGAAGTGAGGGGGCATTTGTAAGACAAAGAGACAAAAGCCATTGTGGGGAGGGCAAGGGAGGCTGGAAAATAGCTGGAGGATCTCTGTGTTGCTGACATTTGCTAAAGCCAAAATATGACACTTCATCTGCCTCCCACCACAGCCTATCCCCAATTGAAACCAGTCCTCCAGGTCCCACAACAGTACCTCAAGCTAGGAACACTCGTATATGGGAAGCCATAAGGAACCACAACACATAAGGAAGCCATGGTCTCGTAGGTCTGAAGAAATCCGAGATATTTTCACAGAAATAGAGCCAGGTAAACAGGTTAGGATGAGTATCATGTGACACACTGGTGAGTCAGGCAGTACAATTCTGATAAAATGCCTAGTGTAATTGCACCTTAAACATTTTATAACATCTACCATTTATCATAACATTGAGTCATTTCATTGGAACTGAAATCAATGTTTTCCTCTGTGTGAACAAGTTCTAAATGTTGAACGCCCACTAAAAGCAATGTGAATGCTGCTGGTGGTGTCCTGCTTACCTCTCTCCTCAGAATGCCCCTCTTTAGTGCTAGTGCCAGTCAAATCAATTGTAGTTTAGCTATGGTTTTTTGCTTCATGCAAAATGATGTAAGAGGCATAAAAAGAGAAAACTATTGGAATCACCACAGATTTCAGGCTATAAATATATTCTTTTTTTTTATGAAATGCATACCTTTATGCATTAAGTAACATTCACCTGTGAAATAAACTCCCCTTTAACACTAAGCCTGGACTCAGTGAACCAGTTCTATTTATATTCTTTTCTTCTCTGCCGGGGCTTATCTTTGCAAAGCTAGCAGTTTTGTTGAGAGAACCAATAATAAAAGAAGCTCGATATGTTTCCTCAATTATCATTTTTGACAGAAAGCACAGGAAGCCCCAACAGTGACAGCGCAAAAGAAAGAACCACCCTAACCCAAAAGAGTTAATCAGCGAGGAACAGACCAGAACTGCTATAGAAAGCTAATGAAGTGGAGAAGAAAGCAGGAATGCCCATTGGAATGAAACATTCACAGGATGGTGCTCTCTGTAACTGTGGATAGACGTACAAGAGAATGGATGTGGTGGTAAGAGAATTCTGTGAGCCATGGAAGCAAAATCTGGTGTTAATTTTGTTATGAAGAACTGGGGTGCCTGTAGCTTGCTTACTATCACAGTGGCCATGGTAACAACGGGTAAGTCCAACTTTTTGTGCAAGATGTTGTCTTATGTTGCCTTTCTTGTAACACCTGTGCCTTTCAGTTTCATTCCCATGAAAAGATATGTTGCAAAGGTTGTTGAGAACAGGTGACATGTGGACCTCACCTTCACCATCTGCCTATAATCTTTTAGGCCTATAGCTTAGATGTATTTGGATACGGAACATGTATTTAGTGTACCAGAGTTTTTTCAACACAGAGAAAAAAGGATTATAGCAGCTGGGAGTTGGCCAGTTTCTAAATTCCTACTGTAGTGGGGCTTGCTTTATTTATACAAATATATGTCAGAATTCAGAATTGTTCCAATTTCAGAAAGTGGGTTTTGTATCATGTGGAATTTTGGAGAGACAGGATTCTTCATGCTGAAGGGATAGGGGACATGGACTAGTAATTCATAAATGCCAGGAAAACAGACTGAAGGTAAGAAGGCTGAGGATCACGGTCTTCTTGCATTTCAGTCTCCCCAGCAACCTTTACTGAAGCAAAGCTTCTATGCAGCTTTTAGGGAAAGTGTTTTCAAGCTTTTCACCTTCCATACAGAAGGTAGAATCTCTCTTTCTTTCTTTTAAAACTATTTCTTAGGATCCTACATACCACACATGATTCTGTGGTTAATGCCTTTTGCTTTTGTTTGCACAACTTCAGCCAGCAATTGCAATTCTCAGTAATTCCAAATGACTGATTTAGAATGGCCACCACATTTATTATTTTATTTATTTATTTATTTAGGAGACTTCTATGCCGCCCCATTCGCCAAAGCCTCGGGGCGGCTCACATCCATAAATAAACTTCCATACAATAATATAAATTAACAGTATAAATTAAGTCGCCCTGGCCAAAGAATAAAATGAATAAATACTATTAACAATTAAAATGACATTTGAATAAAAAGGTCTTTGCCTGGCGCCGAAAAACAAATAACGACAGCACCAGGCGGACCTCTCTGGGGAGTGCATTCCATAGATTGGGCGCCACCGCAGAGAAAGCCCTCCTCCAAGTACTCACCCTCCTAATTTCCTTCACGGAGGGTTCCCGGAGAAGGGCCTCTCCCACAGATCTCAAGGGGCGGCCGGGCATGTATGGACGTAAGCGCTCCTTCAGGTAACCAGGACCCAGGCCATTTAGAGCTTTATAGGTCATCACCAACACCTTGAATTGGGCCCGGACTTCAATGGGAAGCCAGTGAAGCTGACGGAGGACTGGAGTCATGTGAACATAACGCCCAGTCCCCGTCAGCAGCCTGGCAGCTCTATTTTGAACCAATTGAAGTATCACATGTGATCATTATGTATCATGGCTAGTAGAGAAAGTTGCAAAAGGCTGGAAGAGTTGTTGTTGAGTTGTTTTGGTCTGATTCTGTACAGGTCACTTGCCTACTCCCCACTCCCTTCCTTCTTCTTCTTCTATAAAGAGGTGGTGATCAGATGTCTTGTCAAAAACACCATCACTGTCTAGGAACAGATTTATAGTGTCAAACCACTTTCTAAGCAACCCTTTTAAAAGAAAGTTATTGATAGCACAATGGCAGAACAAATCCAGGTTTTTCTGAATGTTCTTATTCCACCTTTTTCAGCTCTCTGTGATGGGGAGGCATAATTAAATTTTGACCGACCACTTCAAGGGGAAGAAAATGGCAACCAAACACTAATGGAGGGTTGCTAAATAAGGCATGATTTCTATGGTACTCTAAGTTGTGTTGAGCCAATAAGCCAACATTTTGGGAAACTGCTTAAAATGTATTTCCCAAGGAGATGGTGAGGTACAATATTGGTATGAGTCCAAACATTCATAAGTGAATGAAAAAATTACCTTGGGCTTATGCTAGTAGGTAAAATTCATGTATGTCATGTACATATGCCATGTATGGAGCTGGATTACCCAATTTGTTCTGACAAGAAATGAAACTGGCTTTATCTTTTCAGTTAGACTTCTTAGGTCAAACTACTCATTACATGTAAACTCAAGTAACAATAGCCCAGTAGCTCTTTTTAATTTTTTTCCAGAAAAGCTGTGACTAGTAGTTGAAAAACAGTGGGAAGCAGAGATGACTAAACTTTCCCCTATTCACTACTTCTTTGTTTCAAATCACCTTCTGTACAGGTTTCCCTCTCATGGGGTTTCAAATGTACGTTTGCTCTCATTAAGCACTTTCACATATATATACGTATCACTGTTTCTCTGCCCGAATGCCTCATCCTCAAATGGCATTGTAAGCCAATAAAGGGTACATTTTGTTTATTTACTTGTAATGTGTAGTTTATTGTTCATGATAATTTCAGAGACACTGGTGGAGTCTTTATGAATCACATTTATTTGTTGATTTGTTATATTTATATCCCATCCTTACTCTAAGGAGCTCTGGGTGGCATGCATTGTTCTCATCTATCTGTATTATCTTCACAACAACTTTGCAAGGTAGGTTAGACTCAGAGATGATGACAGACTCATCTCAGCTCATGGCTTCATGGCTGAGTGGGGATGCTGCCCCTCCTCCCAGTTTTAATCCAACAGCCCTCCCCAAGAGGCCCTAGTCTTCTTTTTGGACCAAGCACATTTAGGAATTTGAGATACTGCTGTGGAAACCACCACAAAATGGCTCCATGGGGCCTAGCTAGTCAAAAGAAGTAGGGATGAGAGAAGGAGCATGACCTAAAGATTGATAATAAGGGGAATATGGTAAGGCAAAGAGCTAGAGAAGAGGGTAAGAACAAGGCTAGAGATTAGGACGGGCAAGAAACAGCAAGATAAAGGGATGAGAGGGAGAGAAAGAACCAGCTGTGGGGCTAGAATGGGGAGAAAGGAGAAAGCTAGGGATGGAGAAGAAAGAGTGAGCAAAGAGGGTTTGACAGAGCACAAGCAATCAGGAAAGGTATATATAGATGGACGAAGATGGGATGGGGCCAGGAAGGAGCCTTTCCTTCTCTTTCTGCCCGCTGCAGTGGCTGGTAGGAAAGATAACCTGGTGCCTAACATTTTTCAAGTTTTTAATTAAAAATACATTTTTGAGGAGGACAAAGAATGGAGAACTTAACAGACGTCACTGAAGGTCCCCATGGGTGACACACTGGGAACCCCATACAACCTGCTGTGCCATGCTGGCTCCATATTACTACACACAACCACAAAATAATGCATTTCCAAAAAAGTTATTTGAACAAAGTTGGAAGCTGCTCCAGCATTTGAGTCTTCTGTTGGGGATAGGTATGCAGAGTCATTTTCATTAATACATCTGGACTCTGTGCCTCGTTTAATATATACTTGGGTCTTATGCCCGTGTTCAAGCACTTTTCTTAGCACTGACTTGAACTTTAGTGATGAAAACAACAAGTTGTAAATGTAGTGGTCCTCACTGTATGCTTTTGTGTTATGATTCTTCTTAGGGTCATCCCTATCAAGAAAGGCCATTCAGAATAACAATGCAGTCACACCACTGGTGGGGGATAAGGCTACATCTCAGCTGGCAGAAGGTAAGATTTCACAAGCCTATTTATTAATACAGCAGAACAGATAAAAGTGCTGTTCACATCCGTCCAGGTCTTTCCTTCATGCAGCACAGAATGGGATCTTTAATGTTTTGCAAACAGGTAGAACTAGGGCTCAGAGAAACTAATGGCTACCATATATAAATTGGATTAAAATTGTATATATGTACCTAGTACCTGGTATGGGAACACACTTCCTATATCATATCATGTACAGTGGATTCAGAAAAAAATGAATAAATGTGCAAGGTTCACCCCTTTCTCCTCTTCAAGTTCATAGTAACCTGTCTTAAGCTGAGTTTCAGAGGCTCTGCCCTAGGACCCTTGCCTTCGGAGGCAGAGCTGGCTTCCATAAGGCACAGTGAAGTGGCTGCCTCAGGCCGCAGCTGGTGGGGAATATGGCAGGGGTGATGATGAGGTATTAGAGAATAGACCTGTGTGGACGATGCACCTTGCCCTGCATGGCTAACCTAGCCTGCTTCCCTAGGTTGAAGGGGTTGAAGTAAGATTCTGTTGTCAGTCTGACTGGCCTTGATACTTCAGATGGGGAATGTGGGCTGGAATCTTGGCCTCTGTTTGATTTCAAGGTACCAGATGAAGAAAGTTTTACTCTCTTAGGCACCTATTCATTTGCTGCTTCTTAATGTACTCTTTAGAGGGATTTTAATAATATTTTATAAGTTATAATATAACAAAATATTTGATTTTGTTTAGTTTGTTTAGTACTTTTCTTTATTGTTGGTGAATATGAATATTTATTTATTTTTTAAACTGAATTTTGGTTCATAATGCCAGGCATTTTATTGTCACCCCCACATGCATTTAAAAAACTAACCATGGTCTGCCACTTACAGCAATATGAAGTTGCATAACAAAAATCAATATCTGCAGCTATAACTCTCTCTACACATAATACCTATATCACTGGTCTACAAGGAGAAAGTCTTGGAAATGAAAGTAACAAAATGTTACCAGAATTGGGTCACTAATAAAGGAAAATTAAGTCCTGAGTATTAATTGGCTCCAGTTTCAAAGACACAGCTGCAGGTCAAAAGTGCATCAAAATAATTCAAAATAATGAGGGGGATGCGGGATTGCTCCATAACTTTTCTGCAAAATAAGATATAGCAATGAGAATGGTGCCACACCAATCATTATAAATTTATCTTTTATTGATACCAATAACATAACTTTCCATTCATTTATTGGCTTTTTGTGTAACATTTTCATGCTTTTTGCATGAAATACTGACAAGCTCATTGTCTTTATCATCATCTGAGTCTAGAGAGTAAGATTCTGGTGGATCGGGAATTGGCAAGTCCTCACCATGGGGTACAGGACACAGTGAGGATAGAATGTTTGGATATTCCATGTTCCACTTCTTCTTTCTTGAGATCCCTTTTTCTGTTGGGGTAACCATGCAAAAATAGCAGTCACTACTATGATTGGTGGGTCCCTTCCATACCATTGGGACTGCAAAAGGCATGAACTTTTTCTTCCGGTTTAGCCAATGATGCAGATAAGTTACACATGTAATGCAACAATAATGAGGGGGCCAACTCTTGTCCTGCTCCCCTAATTTGCGTCCAAAATATAGGTGGTATGCCTTTTTTACCACTGCTGTCATACTGCACTTTTGAGATGCAAATGTAATCTCACCAGAAATGTAGCAGAGGTTATCAGCATTGTTTACACAGTTCTGAGGCATCTTAGCTTCTGAAGAAAAATATTGTGCAACTGTTCCTTGGAAATGTTAGGCAATGACACTTTCACAAGCCTGATGGCATACAAAAGCTTTTAATAAAATAAATAAATAATTTTGTGGTGATTTCTTCATAATCTGGTAGTAATCATATTTTCTACGAATCATTTTGGATTGTAACAGGAAATGTTTAAAGCTGCATGGCTAGGAAGCTGCTACTTTTAAAAATACCCTCTTTTGCATGGAACATGCTCCTACCTGTAGCAACTGATTTCTTTCTCTGTCATTCCAGATAAATCACATATATGTGCAGTAATTGGTACTGAAGCTGTATTGAACTGTCCTCCAGAAAGTTATGACCTCATTGTATGGAATATAGAATTAAAGAATGGAACAAATTGCCATATATCATACATGAGTAAGAATGATACAACTGAAAGAAACTGCACGGAGAACATGAACTGGTTGTCAAGACCAGATCAACGACCTGATCTTCGTATACAATCACCACAGCTCTTCAGTGAGGGAACATATAAATGTTCTGTTGTGACCATCAATGGAACTTTCAGCTATGAAACTTTTCTATCCATATTAGGTAAGAAAATCCATGTACTATTGCATATCATTGAATCATTCACTTCACACATTACCTAAACTCAGCATCATGACACACACATCACCATGCAAACCAGAGCTGCATCTCTACCCTCTCATCCCATTTTAACTCTAGAATAGATGCAGACACCCTAATCCAGAATTGAAAAGCCTACACAATAGGGCCTGAATCTAGATCAGGAGCCCTAAGGCGATCGCCAAGGTTCCTCTGTACTACATTCTTTACTACATTAAAAGGGAACACTATACTGTAAAAGGCACTGTTCCTTGATTTGGGGAATAGGTGCCAAGCTAAGAGAATACATCTCCTTAAAGGAAATGCTTTTCATAGAAGAACTTTAGGAAGCCAGGAGACTCGAGTGATAGGCTTTTGAAAAGGTAGCCTCCAAACATAGTGTGTGTGTTTGCATGACAGCGATGGAACCCCCAAGCCTTTTCCATCCTAACCCTATACCCTTCAACCAAACTAAAATATTGATGCTGTAAATTATTTTTCATGGGGTTGTCATTATTGCTATTCAGTGGCACCTCAGGACGGTACCTATTTGGGAGCCCCTCCACTAGCAGCAGCATTTGTTTCACAGAACTTGGGTGTTTGGAAGGTCTTTGTCAGGTGGAACAGAGGTTGCCATTGGCACCCCCTCTCCCTTTCTTTGTATGTGCAGAAGCTGCTGGACTGGCAGGGTATCCTCCACTGCTCCCAAAAGCAGAGGGCTAACTTAGGCGGAACAGAGCAGGCCTCATGGCACACAGGCCTTTCCTCCAACCTTGCTGCCTGTCCCAAGGTGACTGCTGTGCCCTGTAGAACAGGGCTGGCCCTGGTTTTCACACTATCATTTCACACTGGGACCTCTCCTGGGCTCCCCAGTTCTCAGGCATTTCTAGGGATGGGTACCAATAAGGCCACCCTTCTTCCAAGAGGGGCTCTGGATGGTTGTGGGGTGAAATCAACTCAGCATTCTGAATGAATGTGTATATTTCAACACGTGACTTAATGACTAGGTGGTTCTAGTTCAAGTGGTGAAGGGTAACCGAGGAGGTTGAGTATACGCTCCGTATTTTCAAATGCTGGCAGGCAAGGTAATGTGTTTACTTACCTTTTAAAGGTCACCTTTATTCCTAACTTTATTTATATCCTCAAAATGCATCCCAGTGCAACAGGTAAATTTAACTGACTTTTCTCCTCTTTTAAAATTTCCTTTCAGTGCCTCCTAAGGTATCTCTGACTCATAGCATCAACAAGACTGCTGTGTGCAAAGCAGCTGCAAGTAAACCAGCTGCAACAATCTCATGGGACCCACCAGGACATTCTGCTAATGTGGAGGAAACATTTCTTAATGACATGTATACAGTTACCAGTAGATACCATTATACCAGTACTTCAGAGGATGAAGTCTCTTGCTCCATATTCCATCCTGCTTGGAATGAATCCCGTGTATTAAAGATCTCATTTGGTAACACTAATTAGAGTTCTCTTCTCTGTGACAACTTATTTGCATGCAGGTTGCTGTCAGCTGGAGACCTGCCTCTCCCCCCCCCCCCCACATTTACAGCCTATATTAAATCTTGATGAATGGCTTGACTTTATGTTGCTGTCTCTATAGTACATCCTTTGTTTATGTGCCACTGATTTAGATCAAATGCTACATATGTTCCACCTTGTTTTTTAACTATTTTCTGTAAGTTATGTTGAATACTTTTTTTAAGCTCAAAAACTGACCAGCAAAGGCTTTTAGTATTTTTTTTATTAATGTTCTTAATGCATGCTGCTTCAGAAGGATATTGATCTAGAAAAGTGCAAAAAACAAAATGCAATCAATCAGTAGTCATGCTTATTTTGCAATGGATACAGATGATTCTACTGGTGATGTGCTGCATGAATCTTGGGTTGGGGGCAACTATTTTATGTTTGGACTAGATATATATAAAGAATGAAATCTCTTCCAAACTCATATGGGAGTTTCTTTTTCTGTCTAAGGACCAGATCTTGTATCATGCCATAGAGTTTTAGAAATATTCCTATGGAAAAATCTGCATGGGAAATTTTAGGTTAACACTGGACATGTATATCAGTTTTAAAGATCCTTGGGTAGGTTGTTGGAATGCTGCCATATGCTGCTGATGCAGCTTTTCTAATATTCCTTAGATCCATTCCTCTGGAAATAATTTTCAGAGAACTACCAAAAAGGGAAAGATTCTGCTGGGAATAGCCCTTGCTAGTGAGTAAAGGAAAGGGGTGTATAGTTTACAAGGAAGCCTCATGCCAAAGGACCTTTAGTGGTTCCAAGTGCTGCTTGTAGCTAAAAGGAAATCCATAATCATTTCACAATGAATAGCAAAATACCCCCTAGCTTTGTGTACAGAGCTGAAGGCAAAATCTAAATGTTCTTTTTCATCAGGGAAGAGGGCTTGCACAGGAGTACTCCCGAATCTATTCTAACCTATCTTTTGTTGACTTGTTTATCAATAAAATCCATCAACAGTGCAGAACAATATATATCTTCTCAGAAGTAAGCCCTGTTGAGTTCAGTGTAGTTGTTCCCCCATAAGCAAGTGCAAGATGATAGTCTACAGTTATCAAAATCTCTCCTAACTGGCATTTCTGGCACTTTACGAATCCTCAGGCAAATACACTGGAGAAAGAAATTATACAATGAAAATTCTGTATAGCAGCCTCACAGGGCTCTTGGGAATACTTGTCCTTTTACTTTTCATCTACTCCTGGAAGCTCTTCCATGGAAGGTATGTATGGCAAAGTCCTAACATAAGCCAAGTTTCACAGCTCTGTACAACTGATCAGATGCTATTAAGGCTCAGTGCACTACGGAGAAACAACAGTATCTTCTTAATGCAGCAGTTTTGCTTCTGGGGATGGAAAGGGGCTCTTATTGTGCCAAGCAAAATCAGAAACACAGTTCTGGCAAAGCAGTGCTCCTACTGGAGCCAAGGTTAGGCCCCTGCACCCTGGGTGAAAGGATGAATTATCTCTTCATATCAGCACTGGAACCTGTACATCTGATGCTATCAGATTGTAAGATTCGAAAGGAGGCTTTAGTGAATAACTTGATATAAAAGCCCACTAGATTTAAAATTACAAATGAAATTACATCTCTAGATGATGGGATTTGATTGAATCCTCTTTCCTTCCCCTGTTACATCAGACAACCAGAAGCCACCATATCTGAAAGCCCTGAAGCTATTTCAGGAGAAATCATTCAGGTAAGATCAAGGATCTCTGCTCTCATACCTGCTTTGCTTTGCTTTTCTTCCTCCTCCTTTTTGCATTAAAAAGGACACACTTCTGTAGCCATCTGTTGGCTGCTAACTATGCTAAGGTTGCTTACAATCATACTGTCTACTGCAAAGCCTCCTTCATGGATCACTGCCTTGTCGTGGCGAAGGGGCTTGCGTAGCTCAATGAAGCTATGAGCTATGCCGTGCAGGGCCACCCAAAATGGACAGATCATAGCAGAGAGCTCTGACAAAATGTGATCCACTGGAGAAGGAAATGGCAAACCACTCCAGTATCTTTGCCATGAAAAACCCAGATATGACGCCGGAAGATGAGCTCCTCAGGTCAGAAGGTGTCCAATATGCTACTGGGGAAGAGCGGAGGGCTAGTACTAGTAGCGCCAGAAAGAATGAAGCGACTGGGTCAAAGCCAAAAGGACACTCAGTTGCAGATGTATCTGGTGGTGAAAGGAAAATCCGATGCTGCAAAGATCTATACTCCATAGGAACCTGAAATGTAAGATCCATGAATCAAAGCAAGCTGGATATGGTCAAACAATTGATGACAAGACTGAACATTGACATCTTAGGAATCAGCGAACTAAAATGGACAGGAATGGGTGAAGTTAATGCAGATGACCATCAGGTATACTACTGCAGGCAAGAATCCCTCAGAAGAAATGGAGTAGCCTTCATAGTCAATAAAAGAGTGGGAAAAGCAGTACTGAGATACAATCTCCAAAATGGCAGAATGATCTCAGTTTGAATCCAAGACAAACCATTCAACATCACAGTGGTTCAAGCCTGTGCCCAACCACTGGTGCTGAAGAGGCTGAAGTTGACCAGTTCTATGAAGGCCTACAGCACCTTCTAGAATTAACACCCAAAAATGATGTCCTTATCATCATGGGGGATTGGAATGCTAAAGTAGGAAGCCAAAAGATAACTGGAATAACAGGCAAGTTTGGCCTTGGAGTACAAAACGAAGCAGGGCACAGGCTGGTAGATTTTGTCAAGAGAATACAATGGTCATAGCAAACACTCTTTTCCAACAACCCAAGAGACGACTCTACACATGGACATCACCAGACGGTCAACACAGAAATCATATTGACTATGTGCTCTGCAGCCAAAGATGGGGAAGCTCTATACAGTCAGTAAAAACTAGACTAGGAGCTGACTATGGCTCAGATCATGAGCTGCTTGTTGCAAAATTTAGGCTTAAATTGAAGAAAGTAGGGAAAAGCACTAGGCCACTCAGGTATGACCTAAATCATATCCCTGATGAATATACGGTAGAGGTGACAAATAGATTTAAGGAATTAGAAATGATAGAGTGCCTGAAGAACTCTGGACGGAGGTTCGCGACATTGTACAAGAGGTAGCAACTAAAACCATCCCAAAGAAAAAGAAATTCAAGAAAGCAAAATGGCTGTCTGAGGAGGCTTTACAAATAGCTGAGGAAAGAAGAGAAGCAAAAGGCAAGGGAGAAAGAGAAAGATACACCCAACTGAATGCAGAATTCCAGAGAATAGCTAGAAGAGATAAGAATGCCTTCTTAAATGAACAGTGCAAAGAAATAGAAGAAAACAATAGAATAGGGAGGACCAAAGATCTCTTCAAGAAAATTGGAGATATGAAGGGAACATTTCATGCAAAGATGGGCATGATAAAGGACCAAAATGGCAGGGACCTAACAGAGGCAGGAGAGATTAAGAAGAGGTGGCAAGATTGCACAGAAGAACTATACAAGAAAGAGCTTACTGTCCCTGATAACCATGATGGGGTGGTCACTGACCTCGAGTCAGACATCCTGGAATGTGAAGTCAAATGGGCCTTAGGAAGTCTGGGCAACAACAAAGCTAGTGGAGGTGACAGTATTCCAGCTGAGCTATTCAAAATCTTAAAAGACAATGCAGTAAAAGTGCTACACTCAATATGCCAGCAAATTTGGAAAACTCAACACTGGCCACAGGATTGGAAAAGGTCAGTTTACATTCCCATCCCAAAGAAGGGCAATGCCAAGGAATGTTCAAACTACTGCACCATTGCACTCATTCCACATGTTAGCAAAGTGATGCTCAAAATCCTACAAGCTAGGCTCCAGCAGTATGTGGACCGAGAACTACCAGAAGTACAGGCAGGATTTCAAAGAGGGAGAGGAACTAGAGATCAAATTGCCAACATACGCTGGATCATGGAGAAAGCTAGGGAGTTCCAGAATAACATCTACTTCTGCTTCATTGACTATGCTAAAGCCTTTGATTGTGTGGATCACAACAAATTGTGGCAAGTTCTTAAAGAGATGGGAGTAGCAGACCATCTTATTTGTCTCTTGAGAAACCTATATGCGGGTCAAGAAGCAACAGTGAGAACTGGACACGGAACCACTGATTGGTTCAAAATTGAGAAAGGAGTTCGGCAAGGCTGTATACTGTTGCCCTGCCTATTTAACTTATATGCAGAACACATCATGAGAAAGGCGGGGCTAGATGAATCACCAGTTGGAATTAAGATTGCTGGGAGAAATATCAACAACCTCAGATATGCAGATGATACCTTTCTATTGGCAGAAAGTGAAGAGAATCTAAAGAGCCTCTTGATGCGGGTGAAGGAGGAAAGTGCAGAAGTTGGCTTGAAACTTTTTAACATTTTCTTAATGTTAAGAAAACGAAGATCATGGCATCTGGTCCTCTCACTTTCTGGCAAATAGATGGGGAAGAAATGGAGGTAGTGACAGATTTTATTTTCCTGGGCTCCAAGATCACTGCAGACAGGGACTGCAGCCAAGAAATTAAAAGACGCTTGCTCCTTGGGAGGAAAGCTATGGCAAATCTAGACAGCATACTAACAAGCAGAGATATCACCCTGCCGACAAAAGTGCGTATAGTCAAGGCTATGGTTTTCCCAGTTGCAATGTATGGCTGTGAAAGTTGGACCATAAGGAAGTCTGAGCGCTGAAGAATTGGGGGCTTTGAACTGTGGTGCTGGAGGAGACTCCTGTGAGTTCCTTGGACCACAAGGTGATCCAACCGGTCAGTCCTAGAGGAGGTCAACCCTGACTGCTCTTTAGAAGGCCAGATCCTGAAGATGAAACTCAAATACTTTGGTCACCTAATGAGAAGGAAGGACTCCCTGGAGAAGAGCCTAATGCTGGGAACAACAGATGGCAAAAGAAGAAGGGGACAGCAGAGAATGAGGTGGCTAGATGGAGTCACTGAAGCAGTCAGTGTGAGCTTAAGTGGACTCTGGGGGATGGTGGAGGACAGGAAGGCCTGGAGGAAGGTTGTCCATGGGGTCACGATGGGCTGGACATGACTTCGCGACTAACAACAACAACAACAACAACTGCAAAGCATTGGGACACCATACAGGATGTCAGCACATGGAAAAGCAAAAAAGAGTATGTATGCATGTATATATTTAGTTACAGTATTTTTGCACTGCCTTTCCATAAGCAAATGAAAACAACAACAACAACAAGCCATTATACAACAGAATGAGAAGAACAGCTACATAAAAAACATGAAAATGATAAACCATCATTAAAACATTAGAAACAACAACAGTAAAAACTTTAATCATCAGCTTTAAAAGATGATATTTTCTATGTAAGGCTGTTGATCATGATATCTACTTTTGCTTTAATAACAGAATTGAGATCAAAGCACTTCACAAAGAACCTGTCCTTTCCTGGTATTTGCTATGTGGCATTGTGCTACAGTGGAATAGTGCAAACACACTAGTGGAAATCACAATTAAATGATGCTCATTCTTCCAATACCAAAAAAAAGGCAGGGGTGCTGTGAAAACACGGAAATGAAATTGAAGGATTTCAAAGTCATCTGAGGAACCTGTACACAGGTTAATATAGTCTGCCTAGAGTAGGAGATTAAAAACTTCATCTACAAAGCAGAAAAGAAACACCTCATTCTTGACAACTCTTCAGTGCATCTTTAATTTCATGAGATTAGAAATATAGGCATTTGTTTGTGACTAGAAGCTGGGAGCCAAGAATCACTCTGATTTCATTTCTAAATTGTGTCAAAATGTGTAGATACACAGGTCTGAATGCCACCTATATGTTATTTTAAAAAGTGATTCAAAAGCTAATTATATGAAATACTTTAATTTGATATACCAGTGTGTTCCATTTTGTAAAAATCCTGTAACTTAAAAGCAGCCTTATCACATGATTTCTTGTAAGGGTAAATTGAAACATCTCCCAAGTACATATCATGAAAGGGACTGTGGATGCTTCTTCCACTTAATTTACTTATTGTTGAACAATTTATTCAGAAGATGACCAATCTTTCCTTCTCAAAGGTTATGCCTTTGTTTTATAGGAGGAGGAGGTAGAGCCGTATGCCACCTTTGTGCAAGTGGAAAATATAATCTATGACAAAGCACATGACTTCTCACAGAGGGGTGAATGCTTTCCACCAGGGTTCTTGCCTTCAACCTGAAACACCACCAGACTTGCATCTTGCGTGGGAACATGGAGGTGAAAAACAAGCCATAACAGTGAAAGATGAATGATATTACTTTAAAGTGACTATCTCACTGAACATGGATAACAATGGGCCTTCTCTAACCTTGTCACATGTTCTACTGCCTGATGCCTGACAATGTCTCACCACAGTCATTAGCTGAAAAGCCAGAGTTGATTGTCTGAGTGAGAAGGGACACAACAGAGCAAGTCTGCAGTTTTCTGCATGCTCCACAGAATTTTCCAGGAACTGTGATATGAGTCATATATGACTGAGCCTTAGTATGTTCTTCTGCATCATGAACCTTCTTTTTCCGACTTGGACTGAGGATACCCAGCTGCTATTTTCTCAGCCTTGCCATTTTGGGTGCTGTTTTAAAAGCCATGAGAAAAGCTCGTTCAAAAACTAAAAGAGCAGTGGGATGTAGTGGCCAGAGTGCCACTGTGAAGCTCACTAGATGACTGTGGACCAGTCATTGACTCTCAGTCTAACCTGCCTCGCAGCATTTTTGTGAGCATAACATGCTGAAGAGAAGGAGGGTCACGTACACTGTCTTGGGCTATTTGGAGGAAAAGGTGGGATATAAATGCAACAAACAAATACTGCTACTGCCATTCTGCCTAATACAGGCAGGGCACCATGAAGTACAGGCTGAACTGAGAAGTGTTTTCAGACTAGCAACTCTGAAAGAAGGTTATTGAAACAGAAGAGAGTTTCATTATTTACCAGATGTGTTGACAGCATTTTAAGGTATTCTATCAGGAAGTGCAAGAACTGATTTAGTTGTGGCTGCCAGACCTGAGTGTAAGATAAGCAATGGGACCACCCACTGCAGAATAATCACTAATTCCTAAATTCCAGATTATACTCTATGGTTTAGGGAAGGTAAGGCAGACAGGGAAAGGGAGAGGGAAAATTGTGCTGTTAACAGATTATCAGATCTGGAGTGGTAAGATTTAGGCTCAAATCACTGCTTAGCCATGAGTTGGCTGGCTGACCTTGACCCTTGTGCTCTCTTTCAGACTCTAATGTACCAAAGAGGTTTCTTGTAAGGACAAAATCATGCGGATGGGACCCTTATCCTGTTCTGAGCTCCCTGGAATAAGAGGGTAATTTCAGGGTACCTCAGAGAAAGGCACTAAACCACTGAAAGGCAGGTGCTTTGGAGAGTCCCATTTTCCTTCTGCAACAAATGCAGCAGCACCCTGTGTTGGGAAGAAGCGAACAGCGGGCAGAGAAATGCAGTTAAGCATGGTTGCCGAAGGCAGCCGTCTGGACAGCAGACTGGGGCAGAGAATACAATCTGCTGATCTTCCAAGTCTGCTGCCTGAGGCAAAGGTTTCATGACAGTGGGCCCTGGAATCCAAAGAAAAAAATGAAGTGATTCAGTTAGGGCAATGATATGAATCATAGCCAGTTCCAGGTCTGAGGAGGCTATGGACAAAATGCCCTCTGGTGGACCTTCTCCTCTTTCAAGCACGTCTCTGTGTGTTATGTTCATCATGGCAATGCTCTAAGCTGTGCTGGGCTGTTAGGTCTTCTAGCCACCCTTTAACTTCCCAGAGTTTGCCAGAGTATCATTAGGCCAGTGGCATTGTTGGAAATTTAGATGGTGGCTGTAACCAGTTGCCTGACCCTGCTTGGAGTGCTAGACCAGAAAAAAGATGAAGAGGAGAGCCTGGGGCAGATGCTAGTAGCAGCAGCTGGCAGCTGCCAAAAGCCAGAGAGAGGGAGACATTCCCTGACGTGAATGTTTGTAAGTGGTGATTCGTAAGATCCTCAAAATTGTCACAAGCTACTAGATGTCATTTCAACTTTGTGTGCCATCACATTGTAGGAGATACTTTGCCCGCTTTTCCTGAAAAATCTGCAGTTCTTGGTCTTCAGATATTTCTAATTCTTAGGGAATCCTCATGGACATCTTGATCTCACCATCATATAGAATGTGTAATTATATTTGAATAATCTTTCCAGTGAAATATTTGAAAGAATTAAAAGGGATCACAGTGTTTGTCCTCAGACCACTGTTTCCTCTGATGGCACTTAAACTGCTGAATGTCAAGTACAACAAAGTAACAGAATTGTTTACCCAGGGTAAGTTGACTTAAGCGGGAAATATGAGGAATATAGGGTACCTTGGGAGACAAAACTAAGGAGACTAAACTACAGACTCAACACTGCTTTCAGGAGCAGTGATATTGGTTATTGCTAAATGGCCATTTCTTTGACTGTGCTGGTTAGAACCACATTACACTATGTAGTGCAAAGCTGAGGTTTGTCTTTATTTTTACTTCATATGGCCCCAATTCAGATTGGAACAACCATGTTCTTCCCACAAGCACACAATTTGCTCCTTTGTACCCAAAAGAGGGTCTTTAAAGATCTCAGTTGGCACCAACCCCCAAAAAACCACTCCCCAGTGGTGGATAAGGGGGAGTCTTAACTCACCTCTGTCAAAACATGGTGATCGCATACAAATTGAGGCCAAACTTACTGACCCTTGTGGGAAACATGCCTCAGCCATGTTACATATGATTAGCATAGAGTGTATTTTGACTCTTAGGAATACTCATATTCTCTGGATATGTGGGTCCTGTGATGGACAATAATTGGTGTTGCTACTTTAATAAGTTAAAGTTTCCATCTAGTTCTTGGAAGCAGGAGTGTATAAGACTACTTAAAAACCCAGCTTTGGAACTTGTTTATAAACCCTTGCTGTTGCAAAATCACTATACATTGTTTTAATGTTGTGACCTGCCCAGGAGCTGTGTGGCTAATGGGGTGGGTTAGAAATCAAATACTCAACCAGTAAATAAATAAGTAAGTAAATAAATAAATAAATAAATAAATGCATTTTGCCAACTGTGGTGTGTGACCTTAGCTGAACAGGGACACAAGGATTTATACACATTAGGGGAAATGAAGTAGAGAAATGCAGAATATTTTTGTTTTTTAAAACTCACACAGGATGCCTCTGGTAGAAATGATTCAGACGTGGTCTGGTGAAGAAAACTTGAGAAATTATTAGCTGTACTTTTATGGGGCTTATTATTTCATCCAACAGCAAATGAAGTGGCCCAATGTTGTGAAATCACACCATCCCTGGACAACTTGACTTGGCTCTTTTTCGCATACTCATGGAACTCTATAGATATGCATGGAAACATTTCTTTGCTTAAGAGAAAAAAAGAGAACAGATAGATATTGGTATCTATCTTATGAATGATTTTTTGTCTGACACCCATACATAATGGCAATAGGTAAATAAGATTTTGTATTTCATGGTGGCAATGGAAGTAGATGATGGATAATTATCTGGCAGAGTGAGCCTCCACACTGTTACAGTTCCAAGTCCTCATCAAGGCAGTATTCTAATAGTGTGATAACCTGAGTCTCTTCCTGTCCCCATTTGGAGGCATTATCGGAGACAGATCTTAGAGAAGGGCTGGGTCCACAGCACAATATCATAAAACTCTGGTATAATGAAAAATAAGTATGTATACAGCAAAGCAGAGGAATGGGCTTGACATTTTAGAGACCGGACTGCCCCACTGAATGTCCAGTCTGGTATAGGGGGTGACAGTAGCAGATCCCTAATTGAAGGTAAACATTAAGGGAATACACAGAAAGTAAAGAAGAAAATCATAGGTCAGCTTGGACATGAAACAATGGAAGCCCAGTGTTTGTTCTTAGGGCAAATAATATACGCATGGACACATAACAGAAGTTCTGATTGTAATATCTATGTCTGAAGTGACCCTTAAATCTGGTCCTTTGATCCCTGAAAGAGCATCCAGTGAGCCATACGATATTCCAGATCTTGCCCTCTGAGGGTAGGAAGACATTTCTGCCATGAAATTGCTGCAGTCGATTCTTTGTTGGAACAGTTGCCATTGGAGAGGTCAGGAAAGGGGGCTCCAGAAGAGTAGATGATCAGCATTCTCAGTTAGTGGCATTAGTTTCAAACCACAGAAACCAACAGTGGGGAATTTGTACCACCACCCCCTGCAAAAAAACAAAACAGCCCAAGGAGGAGGGGAAGTCACGCCTCCCTTTCCTCCTACTAGCCTGAATATGTATATGGCAATTTATTTATTTATTTATTTATTGAATATTTTTATCCCATCCTACACAATCCAATTGTCCCAGGAAGGCTTACAATATAAATTAACAATAAATGCACAAACAATAAAAATACAATAATAAAATGCGATTGAAAATATAATAAAACCAGATTAAAATTATTTGAACCTTAAAATGTTGGGTGAATAAAAAGGTAAAGAATATAAATTCGGTGCCAAGCGAACCTCTCTGGGGAGCACATTCTACTATCACTTATTGCAATGCATCTATCTTCAGATGTTCCCATTGTGGCAGACAGCAATACTTTGTTTAAAACTTTCCCCACATTTTAACAAAAACAAGCAGAAAAATAGCACTTCACAGATCTCCAATGACGAATTTTCCTGAATAAATTGAACTTAATAGAAATATGAGAATTCTAGAATAATTCTGCCTCACATATATTCAGTGTATTCCATTCCACAAGAGCCCTCCTGCTGTTCTAGCACTGCTACATGACTTCATTCACCTCTGAAAAGTAGCCATATTTGTGGCTGGACACAGCTGTTGTTTAAACTGGTAAGCACCTCAACTATTTTAGAACAGGAAATGAAGAACAGTAATTTCAGACTGAAGTAACAGCAGGGAGTTTAGGTGGGCAAAATGTCCTATATGCAGATTGCATTTAGTCAGTGAGTTAGAGATTACATCCTCACAAATGTATTTTTGATGGACCAAAAGAACGAAGCTGTATTTTCCTCAGCATTGTCATCATATTTGGCCTGACTAAGGCCACATTACTCAGCTGACTCAGGGAAAGCCACATGTGGGAATATTTAAAAAGCTGTTTATGATTCAGGTTTTGGATATTTTTAGCACATAGGCTTAGCTAAAATCTGAGTTTTGCTATGGGGGGATAACTAATTTGAGAATGATGCATACATAAGAACCTTAGCCCTAACCCTAGCCTACCTCAAAGGGTTGCTGTGGGGATAAAATGGAGAGAAAGAAGATAATGTATATTACCTTGGTCTCCTTGGAAGAGGAGTATCAATGCAACAATAAATGCATAAAAAATACATGGACTCTTTTAGCCCTCTTAGTCTTTCCACCTTGTCTGTCAAAATTTGTATTTTGATTGTTGTTGTTTTTTCCTATAAATTGAACCAGGTGCAACTTCCACCACCCCCACAAGGTTTTCAAGAATGTGTTTTGTTCACAGGGAGCTAAGGGTAAACAAATGGTAGAGGTAATTTAGAGTAGAAAGCAGTGGAAGAGGAAAGGGTGGAGAAACATTTATGCACATACCCATGCAGCTTATCTGCCCTAAATCACCCCGTCAATATTCAGTGCAGAAGCAATTAGATGGCTATAAATGTAGTGTGTAATTACACCCCCAGTCCTGCTCATTAAGGCACGTTAATTAGCATTACAGTGAAATTCTGGGCCTTTGAGAGCTGTAGGGATGAGCAAACACTCAGCCAGTTCACACTTCGCTGACAACCCTTGCTCACTCAGGCTGAATGGGAGTAAGCAAGTGCACTGATTCCATTATGGTTGTTGCTTCCACTTTCAATTAACAACCTACAATCACCCTAGACATGGGTTATCATGATGCCCAAACCCAGACTTAATAGGTGGTTTCTTGTTGGGTTAACTCTGACATGTTTAACCCCTAAACATTCTAGAAGGTCCAGTTTGAGGGGAAATGTTATGTCGTTGAGTGAAAGTGGAAGCAACTACGGTGCCACAGGCAGCATGCTTGCTCCTGAAACTGGGCGGTTGCATGTGAACCAGTTACATGTGTGTGTCTGCTTATTCCATTCCACCTTTCAGCTTGAATGCAGATGCCTTTAACCCCACTGAAGGTGTAATCCTGTGCAAGTTAACCTGCCAAATGCGGCCTGTGGCCGGCGGCCAAAGGGCGGTCGCCACCATTTGTGCCCGTTTGTGGCTGTGCGGGGCTGGACTGGTGGGGAGCTAGGTCGGTGGGTGGAATTTTGTATCGGGGGGGGTAGACGGGGAGTTTTTACTGTTTTAAAGTTTTATTGTATTTTAATTTTGTTTTTATGGAGTTGTCCCTGGCCATGTCGACGTTTGAGTTTCCTGGGGAGTGCGTGGGCTCCGCCACTGGGGTGGTCAGGGGCAATGGACGTTACAGTGGTGGGGGCTTAACATGTCCGCATAGAAGAAGGAGGGATAGATGGCTGACACCTGTCCCTCCTTCTGGTTTTACCCCCAGCCAGAGGGTTCCAGGTAGTCTTGTCAACCGCCCCTCAGGCCTGACAGTGCTGCTGCTTAATGCCAGTTCGGTCCACAATAAATCTTCCCTCATCCATGACTTGATTGTGGATGAGGGGGCCGACCTGGCTTGCATAACAGAGCCCTGGGCGGGAGAGGGGACGGATGTTGCCCTCTCTCAAATGTGCCCGCCCGGGTATCTGGTTCAGCACCGTCCACCCCTGGAGGGGAGGGGAGGGGGGTCGCTTTGGTTTACCGAGCCTCCATCTCCCTCACGGGACTTCCAGTCCCTTTGAGACCAGGGCTGGAGTGCCTCTACTTGGTGTTGGGTGATCGAGACAGATTGGGGATTCTGTTGGTGTACTGTGCACCCTTCTGCCCAACAGTCTCCCTGCCTGAGCTGACGGAGATCGTTTCGGACCTGGTGTTGAGGACCCCCAGGATGTTGGTCAATTTCCATGCCGAGACTGGTCTGACCGGGGCGGCTCAGGACTTCATGGCCTCCATGACAGCCATGGGGCTGTCTCAACATGTCACAGGCCCGACCCATGAACATGGACACACCCTGGACCTGGTTTTCTTGACGGGGCAGGAAGAGGGTGGTCTGAGGATGAGTAATTTATGTCTGACACCCCTGTCATGGTCAGATCACTTCCTCGTGAGGTTTGTACTCGAGAGCAGCCTCTCCCTCTGTAAGGGTGCAGACCCAATTGTGTGGGTCCACCCCCGGAGCCAGATGGATCCGGACGGATTCCTGAAGGCCCTGGGGGAGTTTCCAGCTGACAAGACTGGTGCTCCTGTCGAGGCTCTGGTCAAACTATGGAATGGGGAGATGACTAGGGTTGTTGACACGATCACTCCTAAGCGTCCTCTCCCGCCAGGCAGAGCCCACTCTTCCCCTTGGTATACATCTGAATTGCGGGTGATGTAGCAGGCCGGGAGACAGCTAGAGTGTAGGTGGAGGAGATCATGGGATGAATATGACCGAACACACTTAAGAGCCCATTATCGGGCCTATGCTGTGGCGGTGAGGGTGGTGAAAAAGAAATTCTTCTCCGTTTCCATTGCCTCCTCAAAATGCCATCCGGCGGAGCTTTTTCGGGTGGTACAAGGGCTGGTCCATCCTGGCCCTAAGAAAGATCTGGTTCCACCCTCGAAGGCCCGCTGTGACAACTTTGCCAAGCATTTCAGGGAGAAAATTGCTCAGATTTGTCACGAGCTAGACTCTACTAGTGATTCAGAGGCTTCTGGGGAGATACCAATGTCGCCGTCTGGTCCAAAATTAATGGATGAATTTCAGTTATTGCGGCCTGATGATGTGGACAAGGTGTTTGGATGAGTATGTCCCACCACTTGCCTATTGGACCCTTGCCCATCTTGGTTAATAAACAACACCAAGCACGGGATTGGGATCTGGATCTTGGAAGTGGTTAATGCTTCTCTGAGGAAAGGTCGGGTACCTGCCCCTTTA